AAAGAAGACGTATAAACAGAATTAGTGATACATCTGAAAGTAATAATGAAACAGACCAGAACAGCGATTAGCAGAATATCACTGAAAACAACACCTATTCCAGTTCCATTGAATTTTTTACGGGAGACAAGGTGCAAGGGCCGCAAGTTCCGAGTGATTGTATTACACGCTGCAGTTTTTTTCATTATTTTTTACGAATGAGCTTGTTAATAAAATAACAGAAACAAATTTATATCCTCAAAAATAATTAGCAGCCGTGAAGTCTCTGTGCACTCATTATGGCATAATTGGTATGATGTTACTTTTTATTTAAAACGAAAACGCTAAACAATATTTTGTTATTTTTTTCACGAACTGACTAATCAGCTTGTAAATTGTCTTTTTATTAATATGATATCTACTAATTCATAAGTACGTTAGTAAGGTCGATAAGCGACTAGTGAAATCTGTGCGGACCGGCTGGTACGAACTTGTGAATCCAGCGCGGACCGGCTGGAACGAAACAGCGAATGTAGCGCGGACCGCAAAGAGTTAAAATACAATAATATTTAATATTTTGTAAAAAAAGTTTATCATCCTTTATATTTCAGGCAGCTGGGGTAGTGGTTGACATGATAAAATCGAAGAAGATGGCTGGTAGGGCAGTGCTATTAGCTGGTCCCCCAGGTACTGGAAAAACAGCGATTGCGTTAGCCATGGCACAAGAGTTGGGCAACAAAGTGCCATTTTGTCCCATGGTAGGTTCGGAAGTTTATAGCTCTGAAATAAAAAAGACAGAAGTTCTGATGGAAAACTTCAGAAGGGCTATTGGTCTCAGAATCAAAGAGACTAAGGAAGTATACGAGGGAGAAGTTACAGAACTAACGCCAGTTGAAACAGAAAATCCTATGGGTGGATATGGAAAGACAGTGTCGCACGTAGTAATTGGATTAAAAACTGCTAAAGGCACAAAGCAATTGAAATTGGATCCCTCTATATATGAGTCCTTGCAAAAAGAAAAGGTAGAGACAGGAGATGTGATTTACATTGAGGCAAATAATGGTGCCGTAAAAAGGCAGGGTAGGAGCGATAATTTTGCTACTGAATTTGATCTGGAAGCAGAAGAGTATGTTCCATTACCTAAGGGTGATGTGCACAAAAAGAAGGAAGTCATTCAGGATGTAACATTGCATGATCTGGATGTTGCTAATGCTAAACCACAAGGTGGTCAAGATATTATGTCTATGATGGGTCAATTAATGAAACCTAAGAAAACAGAAATTACAGGTAAGATGATTTGAAATCATTTGAAGTATCTCTCTGTTTTTATTTGGAATTAAATGTGGATTAAAATTGTATGTTACAGATAAATTGCGCAAAGAAATAAATAAAGTTGTAAATAAGTATATTGATCAAGGTATTGCGGAATTAGTACCAGGAGTGTTATTTATAGATGAGGTACACATGTTAGACATAGAGACGTTTACGTATCTTCATCGTGCGCTAGAAAGCGCAATTGCGCCGATTGTTATCTTTGCAACAAATCGAGGTCGTTGTATAATCAGAGGAACAGAAGATATCGTGTCACCACATGGAATTCCTCTCGATCTCTTAGATAGGTTGTTAATTATAAGAACGCTTCCCTATTCTAGATCGGAAATAGAGCAAATAGTTAAATTAAGAGCCACAACGGAAGGGTTGCAAATCGAAGATGAAGCTCTATCAGCTCTTGGTGAATTAGGTACAAAAACAACGCTTAGATATGTGGTACAACTTTTAACTCCTGCGTCATTAACGGCTAAAGTAAACGAAAGAACAATAATTAAAAAAGAAGACGTCGAAGAAGTGGGATCATTGTTCTTAGATGCAAAGTCATCCGCTAAAATTCTTACACAAAATAAAGATAAATTTATGAAATGATTGTATTCGACTATTATCTACTATTCTAAATAAAGTTTAATTTGTAACAAGAAACAAACGTAATTGTTTTAACGAAACTTTACTCATTTGAATAAGTTATGAACACATGTAACACATACGCGTGCAAAGGTAATTTCCCAATATTGTTTAAGATATTTTACAACTTAGGGTCAAAAAAGATCAAGCTGTAATCAGAAGTTATGACATCACAAGATGATACGTCCTAGGGTATAAAGCTTCTGTTTACTTTAATAAACTCTTTAGTTTTCTGGAATCTATCAACTATAGTGTAATACTAGTAATAGAAGAGTATTCAAGTATTTTCTATTTTATACTTCACAATGTTATATATTTCTGGGCTAACGAAGTATACAAAATTATTGAATAGACGTAATATATTCCAACACGCGCGTAAATTAACGTCGAGTAATTTACGAAAAGAAAAATTTGATAAACTTTTTCTGCAAAAAGATGAATTTCAAATAAGACATATCGGTCCTCGACAGTATGAGCAGTTGGAAATGTTAGAAACCATTGGGTTCAAGGTAGTATTTTAATTTGACAATAAGATTTATTTCAAAGTAGTCAATTCGTTCAATTTAATTTGACAGAATTTAGAGGAATTAACAAACGCTGCCATCCCAGAAAAAATTCTTTACAAGGAAGAATTGAAGATCGAGCAATCAGTCAGTAAGTAAAATGCGCAGCTTATTTGAAATACTATATACTAAAGTAAAAAAAAAAAAAACAACACTACATGAGAAAGCGTGCGAAGTCACGCGATTGTAGATATAAAACACGTGCAAACTGATAACTCTGTGATATTGAAACAAACGTAGTAAAGTATAATAAACATTCTTGAAATATATTCGTACAAATTTCAGACAATAAATATTTTAAATGCGTGGATTAAGTATATGAAAAAATGGAATAATTTTTCCTGTTAAAAAATCCATGAGTTTTATAATTTTCCTTAAATAAAATGATCTTTAATTGTGAGAAGAGCGTATCTTAGGTCAAAGGTCAGTCTCGTGCAGTCAGATTAGCATTCACGTGATTTTCTAAAGCTGAAAACTAACAGTAACATTTTTCGTTTAAGATTTTAAATCTATTTCAATATGTTGACTTCACAGATCTGATGTAAAGTAATAATTATATTTTAGCTGAATACGAATTGCTCAAGAGAATTACACAAATCTCGGAAAAGAATGATGTATGGCGTTCGTATATTGGCATGGGATATAATAATTGTTGCACTCCTCACACCATTATGAGGAACATATTCGAGAATCCAGGATGGTATGTTCTTTGTACGGTGATTTCAATATGGTTGAAGTAACTGCCAAAGTTCTATTACAGGACAACGCAGTACACTCCGTACCAACCAGAAATTTCTCAAGGTAGACTCGAGGGTTTGTTGAATTATCAAACAATGATATGTGACTTGACTGGAATGGAAGTAGCAAATGCGTCTCTTTTGGATGAAAGTACTGCAGCAGCGGAAGCCTTGGCCCTTGCCCACAGAAGCAACAAGAAAAAGAAGTTGTTCGTTTCTGACAAAGTTCATCCTCAAACGATCAGCGTGATTGCAACGCGTGCCACTTCTTTAGGTCTCAGTCTTGAAATCGGAGATGTTTTCCAAGCTGATACCAGCGGAAAGGACGTCGCCGGTATTTTATTTCAATATCCCGACACAACAGGATCCATTCACGACTACGAAGATGTGGTGAAGAAGGCACACGCGGATGGTGTACGTATTTTGAGATCCAACATCCAAATTAAATAAATCTGAAATAAGTTTAATAATGTTCGCGATACATTTCATCGTAATTAGACGCTCGTCTGCGCTGCTGCTGACTTGTTAGCGTTGACTATACTCAAACCTCCGAGCGAGTTTGGAGTTGATGTATGTGTTGGTACCAGCCAACGTTTTGGAGTCCCACTTGGATACGGAGGACCTCATGCTGGATTTTTCGCTTGTCGGCAAAAATTAGTTCGTCTGATGCCGGGTAGAATGATTGGTGTAACCAAAGATTTAAGCGGCCAGGATGCGTATCGTTTAGCTCTTCAAACACGTGAACAGCATATTAGGAGAGATAAGGCAACCAGCAACATTTGTACCGCACAAGCATTGCTGGCAAATATGTCTGCAATGTATGCCGTGTATCATGGGCCTGAAGGAATAAAAAACATTGCAAACAGAGTACACTTTTTAACCCTTATCCTAGCAAAAGGTTTAGAACAAGCAGGGAACAAAGTGGTCAATAAATATTTTTTTGATACTATAAAAATATCACCTGTAGTGCCTCAAAAAACTATAAAGAAGAACGCGATTGCGTTTAAAGTAAATTTTAGGTAAATAATCAGGAAATATAATGCGAATAAAATACAGATATGACAAAGGTCGATGCATTTCAGATATTACGAGGCTGAAGTTGGGATATCTTTGGATGAGACTACTACAGAACAAGATGTAAACGATATCTTCAAGATATTCTCAGCAGATACGAACGTTGAAGAAATGTGCAAAGAGGACATTTATCTAGACAAAAACTTGAGTAAATCCTATTTCGCTCGCTCCACACCATATTTGCAACATCCTGTATTCAACAGTCATCAATCCGAAACAAGAATAGTTCGTTATATGAAGTCCTTAGAGAATAAGGATGTGTCTCTCGTACATAGTATGATACCATTGGTAAATTGAATCATGTGAAAAAAAATTCTACGTTAAATTCTATCCTAAATATTTAATTTAAGAAAATGACTACTGATAATTTATGTTGAAATAATTTTAAATCGTTGACGTCAATTAAGGGATAATGTACTTATATATTTCCGACTATTTCAACAGGGATCTTGTACGATGAAACTAAATTCTACCACAGAAATGATGCCCTGTAGCTTGCGTGGATTTACTAACATCCATCCTTTTGTTCCCATTGAACAAACCAAAGGATATCAACAGTTATTTACTGAACTGGAACATGATCTATGCGCTATAACTGGTTATGATAATATAAGTTTTCAACCAAATAGTGGCGCTCAAGGGGAATATGCCGGTCTAAGAGCTATACAACGTTATCACGAGTCGAATGAAAACAACAATCGACAAGTCTGCTTGATTCCCATTTCTGCTCATGGTACTAATCCTGCTTCTGCTCAGATGGCTGGTATGCAAGTGAAGCCTATTCTCGTACAGAAAGACGGTTCTGTAGACATTGTACATCTGACAGAAATGATCGACAAATATCGAGAGACATTGTCTTGTTTGATGATAACGTACCCATCAACGAACGGCGTGTTCGAGGAGACCATCGCTGATATTTGTACTATGGTTCATGAAGCTGGTGGTCAAGTGTATTTAGACGGGGCTAATATGAATGCCCAAGTTGGTCTATGTCGTCCTGGTGATTATGGTAGCGACGTTTCACATCTGAATTTACACAAAACGTTTTGCATACCTCACGGCGGTGGTGGACCTGGGATGGGGCCTATTGGAGTGTAAGTAACAATGTTAATTTGATATAAATACAGTGAAAATGATGATGTCTTTTGTCTATAGGAAACGACATCTTGCACCTTTCCTTCCATCTCATCCTGTAATTAATCGTTCGGGCAATGGCCATAACAATGTAAAACAAACTGGTGCGGTATCAGCCGCTCCTTTCGGATCATCGGCTATTTTACCAATTTCATGGGCTTATATTAAAATGATGGGTCCAAATGGGTTAAAAAAAGCCACGCAAGTCGCTATTCTAAATGCTAATTACATGAGCAAAAAATTGGAGAAATATTACAAGACACTGTACAAAGGAAAGACAGGATTGGTAGCACATGAATTTATTTTGGACGTACGAGATTTTAAGAAAACGGCAAATATCGAGGCTGTAGATATCGCTAAAAGATTGATGGATTATGGTTTTCACGCTCCAACAATGAGCTGGCCTGTATCTGGTACATTAATGATTGAACCAACCGAATCTGAAGACAAAAAAGAACTGGACAGATTTTGTGATGCTCTGATTCGTAAGAATATTATTTTATTACAAATTTCTTCTTTTTTCTGTTTTAAGAGATATCAATGAATATCCAGAATTTTTGTCTTTTAGATATACGACAAGAAATTGATGACATAGAAAGTGGTAAATTAGACGTTATTAAGAATCCATTGAAAATGGCACCACACACTCAAGAGCAAGTGATATCAAGTACGTGGGATAGACCATACTCACAAGAATTGGCAGCGTTTCCAGCTGTAAGTTGATATTTACAGAGCTTGATATTTACAACTAAATAAATAATAAATCATGCATATATTTGTAGCCATTTGTAAGAAGAAGTAAGAAGATTTGGCCGAGTGTTGGAAGGATAGATGATACATATGGAGACAAAAATCTATTTTGTACATGTCCTCCTGTCTTACCAGATTAATAAGTAGTTTTACTTATTTATCATGTACAGTTAGTTATAGAACTATTTAAATATTTATTGTAATTTTTTGTACAAACATATTATTTATATAAAGTTTCATATTTTTATAAGCAGACAAAATATATGTAATAAAGATCTGAATCTAAATTTCTTTTTTCTTTTTAACAAAAAAAGCTATATTATTTAATTACTATCCTTAATGTAATGTAACTATGGGTATTCAGGTCATCGATATATTTACATTGTACATTAATCGATTATGTTCGCAAACTTTGTATATATATATTACAAACCAGGCATAAGATATGCAATATTGTCCAGTATTTGCGAAAGTGTTTCATGTTTAGCTCCATTAGTTTCTGGTACCTGTTGCGTTAGACAAATCAAGGGACCCAGTGCGCAAAGCAGAGAATCCAGTAAGACCGACAGACTGCCTGATACTGCTATTTGTCCATCGTGTTCCTTTAACCGTTCGCCAATAATCGTTAAACTTTCACCAAGAAGCTTAAGATGAGCAGCCACGTCGATTGGTTGAGTACCGACGACTTTATACATTCCTGTTCCTATGACCGGTTCGTTAACCAAATCTTTCCCAATTCGATTTGACGGCGGCGACACCGGAACATTTCCTACAACCGAGGGTAGACCTAATTGAATTGTTTTTTTGGAACTAGCAGGCTTTTGTTCTTTTCCATTACCTGTAATACAAAAAAACAGGGAACATAAAATGTTACAATATTATCGTGTTATTCGATTTGCCTATCTCTATACGAGATGCATGCATACCAAACAAGTGATAATAAGATATCTACCATATAATTCTTGGAGACATAAAAACAATATATCTGAGAAACTTTTGACTAATACGCGTGCACGAGAAGCAAATCAATATAAATAAACTACCACATAACTTTCAGAGATGTACTTAAAAAAAATAATGTAACATGAGAACCAACAAACCCACCAATTTTATTAATGAATTTTTTTCGCGAAGCAGGCGGCGGCATTTTCCAAACAGGCTCATCTTTACTCGCAGGTAAAGAATGAGGTTTCGCTGCTAAGCGTTTTGCGCGTCTGCGCCAGTTATATTTTTCCAGATTTGGTACTGTAGCCCATAGTTCTCCTAACCGTTTAGAAATTGCTGCAAAATCTACAAAAAGCAACGTTTCACGAATAACATTAGCATCGGTTTTCCAATTCGATCATACATAGTATGGAGAAACAAGTGAATCTTATATACCCATATAAGGACATTGCTCTAGTAATTCTTGTCTAATTTCTTTAGCCCACAACATGTATGCGGTAAATCTTGTTTTCTGAAAATATCATCGAACTGTGAAATAATCATCCCCTTAGTAACTTTCATGTGTACATACCCCTTTGTCTTTACGTTGTGCCTTCATTCTACCTATTATTTTGCCATCTTTAATAATTAGTTTTTTCTTACATTTCTCAAGCATGTACAAACTATTCGCTTGTGAAGGTGTTTCTTGGCCAGGTGGTTCAAGTTTTCTAAACCCTGCTTCTCTATCATCTATCATAAGAGGATCTACATCATCATCACTTCCAGAATCCATACTATATCTTTCATCCTCGTTCAACCCAGAGGGATCATCTGATTCTGATCCTGAAGACTGCCCCTCATTATCTGACAATGTCTCTTGTTTAACTCTTTGTTGTCCAGAGCTAGAATTTGAATTCTTCCTTTGCCTTCCGCCACTTGTATGTTGAATTGATTGATTTGGTGATATACATTGTGACTCATATCTGTCCAACAATTGTTGATTTTGTAATTGCTGTGCTTTCTGACGTTTGTATTTGTTATCCGTAAAATCATCTGGTGACTCAAAGTCAACGAGTTTGGAAGATTTCTTTCTCACACGGCCACTGCGGGAGATACCCGTGACCTCTAGATCTGAAAGATAAAGCGGACTGCACCTTGCCAAGAAAGAGAAAGGGACCAAAATACTTTGTAAGATCTAACTACCACTCTCATAACATCTGTGATTCAAGATCATTACTTGTATGCAAACATATTTTACATCAACAGTATAAATGGATATCCACTTTTGTTTACTGCTATTTATGATATAAATTATAATTTTCCTGATATATTTTGAAATTTTTTTGAATAAATGTGTTTGGTAACCAATTGTTAGATCTCGTGGACGCGTATCATGTGTCATATAAATTTTATTATATATGTATACAAAGAATTTCCTCTATATCTGATATGGATAAACATATTGCTGTTTGGAATGAGCGTGACGAGTACTATCATCGTTTGAGGTTATGAGTATTACGAGGTAATTAAGACCGGTTCGAATAAAATTTTATCATTTCTGTGTAATCGTGTTTTCTCATTGGCGTCTGTTTGTTTCGTTAAATTTCTCAAATGCGTAAAAGAAACCTGATCACGGATAGATTGTATACACATCATTAGTTCAATGATTCTCCGCTACGGACAAAAGCGCTAGTAACCAAAACGCAAATTGGAGTAAATATTGCCAGAAAAATTGATAAATTTGCTACGAACGCGCGCAAATCATGCGAAATACTGCAAGCGATACGATCAAACAAGCAACTGATCTACCAAATATGTTTCCCTACGTAATAAAAGCTGATCTCACCGTCATTCTTCTGACGTTTCGGTGTCACGAACATATCCATAGCGTTGTTTCGTTGTTCTGGGAGCTTGTTGCGCCGCGGCGTTTTCTCAGATTTCGCGGGCTTACGAATATTGGCGCGCATCACGCGCTAATAAGTTATCGCCTCCTTGATGCAAACACATCTGTCAAAAATTTCTGCACTGTTTCCAGCAACAAGCTCGTCTTCAAGTCTTCAAATTTGTTTATTTCCGAGACGATTTTAAAAACAACTGCTACGAAGAAAACCACAATGCACTGCGCAGCGTGAGTCATGCATTCAGTATGCAACGCGCGAAATTCAAAAACGAATTTCATTTTCTTACTCGTGCAAAGCACAAAGTTTTAAGAATCGTATAAATTTTTCAATTTTCCAAGGAATAAAAATTAATTTAATAAAAAGTAGTTTATATTAATTAAAAAAATAAGAAAATGTATATTGTAAAAAAATGTATTATTTACATTAATTAGGACGTTTTTTGCAATTAAATAATATAAAAAGATTTAAATATCATCCTCTTGCTGCCAGCCATCTTCGTCGGACAAAAATCTTCTTTTATGACTGGTGTTCATATAAGGCCTCAATGCCCATTCTGTATCAGCTGCAGTTTCTGCATCTAAAGTACCTAATTTGATTTCATACAATTTCAGTTGAAACCTGGGGCCAACTTCTGTCAGTTCAACGTCTTTTCCACGAAGTCTTTTATACGTGTGATGACGAAAAGATATATAATCATCATGATTAGCAAAAGTGATTATTCTTTTGCTATCTTCCTTTGGTACTGGGAATAAATATTTTAGAATACTCATGACGCGTTCACCCAACTTTGTTTTGAAATTGTGAAATATAAGATGAGGATATTGCTCTGACATAGTTCCAATATCAGGAATATCATGCCTCATAATAACATCTGATATTGTGAAATATGCAGTTGGCCCATAAGGTAAGTGACATATGGTAAGAGAATTAGGTACACCTCTATGTTCGTGCACTATTATAAAATCTGTAACGTCGTTTGCTCTACAAGCATGTATCAATTGTTTCATCTCGTACTTTCCTCGATTCATTCTTTGAGAATTGGGAAATATCAAGCGCAATTCTTTGACAAACATCTTCAATCTGGAACTTGGATCGCGGGATGTAGTGATCACAATTTTTGGATCTTCAACTCCTGCCCATCGATACTCGTCATCTTCGTGAGATCCCACAGTTCCTCCCATTTCTGTTCCAATAGCAACAGCCATTTCTGGCCCAGCATCTTCCCAAGCTAATTGTTTCTGTATGTTCAAAGCATCTTTCCTTAGATCTGGATGTATGGGTATATTCTGTTCCAGGCTACGTTTAAGTTTCTCTTTTTTCTCTTGAATGCTTTTCAACTTGTCTTGAACAGATTTTCTATAAAGATACTCTCTGCGGAGTCTCGCTTGTCTTCGTAACATTTTAATCTTTTGTTTGGTAAAGTAATTAGTAGATTGGTTAAGTAGAGAATAATTATTTAAGTAAACAGACACTTGGGCAAAGAATTATAGGTTATACGAATCTTACACGTGTCCACATAACGTCAAGAATAATTCCGACGTCAATGCGGGTCTTACGCGTACTAAATTCTCTATCTTATTCCAACTCTAATGTCTCTCTTTATTGGCAAACATGATGCGAGATTTAGGCTCCATCTGGTGTTGAGTTCCCGCAATTCACGGGAACATACATATATGTTTCATATCTTCAATTTTCAATGGTCGCAGTAGCTGCAGCTAATTAAAGAAACGTTGATGATCTTACTTAATCTTAATTAGGTTAAAAGCTGCGCTGGTCATAGTTTGTTTTAGAATGGGTAACTATTTCAGTACCTGTATAGAATTTCCAAGCGTTTGGGATCAAAATTTATATTGTAAAATTATAGTAGGCTATTAGCGTAAATCTGATTATTATAATATAAAAGTTCTCTTTATTTCAAATTTTCCCTCCCTCTCACCTTCCGCGCATTGCGCCTTCAGCTGCAGTATTTCAATCTACGTGATAAAATTGACACAATAATAAAATTTATTTTATTAAGTTTTTATTACCAAATTAATAAAATAATTATTAAATTTACTGTAACTATTGAATTTATTGTAAATCAATAAAGTTTTAATGGACTGGATTTTCTTATCCAGTCGATAACGTGATTGGTGGAGCTGTTGGTGACGAGCCAATCACAGTGCCTAAGATGATGCTGTATCTTTAACGAATATTTCGAAATTAGTTTCTAATTTCTCGCGTTCAAGTGAAGATCGTTCGCGTGCACTAAGTCATAAAAACGTGTTTTATATTTGAATTTGTGCTTTAATTTATGTTGATAGTGAAAGTAAGTTTCTTCTTTTGTTAATTAACTATTAACTTGATAATTAACTATTATAATTTACTATAAATAATTAATTCTCATTGATCGATCAAATACTGTGAACAATCATGTCGTCTTTATTATTAAATATCATTCGAAGCATACGTGCCTAAAAAAGAAAAAGTTTTATTTATACAATTATAATCAAGACAACTTATATTACAATAAATGTAATATATAAATAATTGAATACTTTCGATACAGGTAAAATTGCTTTTGCTTTCGAATAAAATCAAAAAGTTATGATGCGATTTAATTACGCGCGAAATTTGAATGTGATTGTGAATTGATGAATAGTCAGTGTTACCAATGTTCGCAATATCTATTCAGAGTATAGAATTGACGCCGCACTTCATGTCATTCGGTATAGGAATATATTCAAATCAATGTCAAACTGATATATATTAATTGCTGAAAATATTTTCGCATTTCGTTTTTTTTATAAATGGAAGGAATTCTATTCGTGCACGAATCTTCATTTCTAAATTATTTCGCGACGGATTAATTTATTGTTGGAAATTATTTTGACTGATATTTATAGCTATGTAATATTTTCATTCTTATTTTGCCACTATTCATATCTTCATTGCTATTAATTTATTTTAATTAATGTAATACGGTTTTATTTATTTTTTTTTCTTTGATCGTCTTTTTGATAAACATTCAAGACGGCATTTGATCTTGATCGTTTCATTTGTATACAATTTATTTCTTTTATACATTTATTAATAAAGTTCTGATTCTTTTTTTTGTATAGATTATTGGTTAATTGCACGGAAAACTTCAAAGAATTAAGAGGAACGAAAAAAGACGCCACGATGATTAGTGATCCGACAGCTTTACATAAAGGTGTGGTAATACATATTTCTACCGAGTTTTTTTTTTCAATTTATTTGTTTATTTCCTCTTTCTATGGGCCATTTGGTAAAATTTATTTAGCAAGCTTTCCATTTAATCGACATACGTTTTTAACAATCAGATTGAAATACGTTCTGCATATTATGCAGGACTGTTTAACTGCGTACCATATTTGATTAATACGAAGTACATTGATCAACGGAATTTTTAAAATAAAATTAATTAATATTAAAATAATATTTCACATTTTTTTTTTCAGATTTGAGCAGATTGGGTCACAATAATGGTAAGGTCACATATATTTTTTTTTCTCTGGTCATTCAATGATGAATTGACCGTAGAATGAAGAATCTAAATCGGCATGGATGATTTTTCTGCACATTTGATTATGCATTTAATTAGTATCAGTATGAAATAATCTTTCGTATAGAGTTATAATTATAATTTAAGATTTAATTGAATATTGATCTTTAAATTTAAATTTTTCGTATCAAAGTTCATTTAATTAAAGTTCATTTTGTTTGTTTCACATAAGTGAATTTACAAGAATACATACATTTTTTATATAAAATTAGAAAATTTCTATATAAAAGGAAGATTTACACTTCTATATAGTGAGTTTAGGACAATTTTATTATTTGATATAAATTACATTATAATACATGATAAATGACATACAAAAGCATTGAGTATCTAGTTTAGCAAATGAATGTCTTCATATGGTTGAATATAATTCTAATTATTGAATATAATTCTAATATTCACTGTAAAAAATCATAGAGATCTCAAAAATCGTGTTAATTTTCTTGAATATTGGTATTTCACATCATGAGACAAAATTTTGTCTGTGCTTATGCTTAGGCAATGGTTGTGAACTATAATCACCTAGTCTGTGCTACCATCATATTGGTCAATAAAGTTTCATGAGATATAAAAATAATAAGGTACCCAAAAAATTCATTAAATATGAAGTTTATTCTGCTCGTCGTTAACAATTGGTAAGATAAATTGGTCGATAAGATAGGTAATTTTACCGTCTCCGAAGGTAACTTATTTATGTTGGTAACAAGTTATCGACGTATCTAAACAGCAATTAGTTTCAAATATCGATGTTAGATGCCACATCAACCACTTCTTTCAAATTTATAGAAAAATTTAGATAAGGAATAAATTGATTATAAGTATATATATAAATCGTTTTCAAATTTTCTTCTCAACTAATTAAAAAGTAAAGATGGAAATTAGAATATCCAATACACCAATAAAAGCTTGTTCATTGCTGATTTGTGGGAGGAGACGTAGACTTTTTTTCGTCCGTGACGCGGTTAATTGCAACCAGCTTGCAATTTCGCTGATGTCTCTTTGATCGAGCCGCCAGCTCGCTACTTCTCTCGTCGGAATATGATTTTTCAAGCTGCGCTTAATCAGCGACGAACTGTGAATCACAACGACAGAGTCATTCTTTGTAAGTGCGCAACGTTCGTCGTAGTTTAATCAACTCGTTCTGGTGTACGGGCGAGAGTTTCGAGTTTCCTTCGACGAAACGAAATGAAACGAACCGAACCGAACCGAACCGAACCGAAGCGAAGCGAAAAGAAATTCGAAAGGAAAAAAACAAAAAAAAAAAAAAGAAGAGAAAA